CACTCCGGTTAATCCGACCGTGGTCTCGTCAGTGACTCACCGTCCGTGGCGTTCTTCTGTGTTCATTACAGTATATGTTTTACATTGTGTGTGTTTTCAACATGTCAGGAGTGAAACGTAAACACGTTACTCTTTCATTAAATGAAAAATTAGCAGTGCTACAAAGATTGGACAAAGGGAAGATTGTTTATTTTACTTTTTTCTGATAATCCGACCTTTTTTGCGTTCCGATCATACCCCCAGTCCCAAAGGTGACGGATTAGAGGGGTTCTACTGTAATTACAACGGAAATTCACAATAATACTGCGGCGACAAATCACGACTGGTGAGATGGTGCCACTCCTCTAGAAGTTTCCGGTGAATCCCGGATTGAAAAACGGGGACAAGGTTTTTTCCCGGATGAGATTCTGGGTAGTGTCGCTTCTTTTTGTCGAGTGATCACTGCCGTGAGCACGTATAGCTCTCTCTCAAGTGTACTCGTAAGATTGTTGTAAATAAATGTTGTTTTAGTTAAAAATGTAGTCGTGGACTTAACTAATTCACGTTTACCGCCTTCTGATAAAGACAGTCTTTGTGGAGATGGAAATGGATGGAAAAAGACGGCCAGGTTTCGTCTAATCAATGGCGGCCATCCATTACTTCCAATACAAAATGGCGATCCACCTCGGTAAACTTAGGGCGGTATTGGAAATTTTGACCGGTGTTACCGGTAACTACCGGTCGTTTAGAAAATGTGACTTAAATAACCAACCGCGTTTAAAAATCACTGTTATGACGTCACCGATTGTCCTGCAGTACTTACCGAAGTAACCACGGTTACAAAGCGGTTATAGCGGTTCTATTGAATTACAAGATGGCGGACACATTATATCGTGTGACGAATGTGGCCGTGATTTTAAAACTTTAGAGAAAATAAAACATTTTGTTTCCACGACACAAAGTGACCAAAATCAAAAAGCCGCGTTGTTCCAAATTTCAGATGAGTTTCAAGACAGTATGGAAAACGCTACGAAATTATTGATTTTACAGTATAAACTAAACGAAAATAAATTTTTCTTCCATACTTGTTTAAGAAATCCTAAAAGTTCATATTCATCTTTTGATGAACTTGTAGAATCGTCATCGTCATATGATTCTGAATCGATATTCGAGAGCAATGACAGAATTAATATCATCTCCTCTCGACTTGCCGCCACGTCGAACACCACAAAATAACCAGCGTGTTTAATTAATTTAAAAATACGCTAATCGCACGGAATAACCGGCTATGACCGATGACGTTAGTTACCACTACAGCGGTGTTGACGGTCAGGTGGCCGAGCGGTCAAGGTGGCAGCCTACCACTGTGGGGACCCTGGATCTCATCCGGACGGGTCGATAAAATCCCCAGGAATTTTCCAGGTAGTGGTCCGTCCGGATATTTCGGGCTCCATCCCTCACCACCCGGTTGCCCCACTGTGGTGGATCTGGCAGAACCCATAATGGGATTGCTAAAAAGTGGCCCTCATAGTGCTCACAGGGCAGAAAGAGTTAAGAAAAATTTGTAAAAATAATAGTAAAGCTGACTATAATCTCTTTGGTTATATTGGTATACAAAATCTCCAGAGAATGGCGTTGAAAATTTAATCCTTTATCTATGGGAAAATCTCACAGAAAAAGTATTGCTCCTTTCCCACAGATATTGTTCAATATCTCAGAACAGAGAATAAAGAAATTAAACAAATTAGACGCCAATACACACCAGTGGCGTAGCGTGGGTGTCAGCCGCTCGGGACAAAGGAAAAATTTCGCCGTCCCCTTATTTAGGTATTTCACTTGTCAATTTAAAAGACTAAAATTCAGTTTCGTCACAGAATAAGTAATGAAAAATTCCATGCTAGTGTTGCCACCTTTTTAAAATCGCTGACCCGGACGGCAGGTGAGTTTGTTCGAACAGAAGTTCCTGACGCATGCGTATGTCATTTTACAATGCGAAGAATAACGTGCATGCCGGTTCTAAATCAGTTACAGTTAGGGACTAGGGACTTGCGTAGGAGTAACGTAAGTAACCTAAATTAAGAAAGAACAGGTACAGATAACTTAGCTCTATTTGATACGGAACGATCGTACATGCAAAAAAAAAGTCGACAGGGTTTCTTTTTTTACTATTTTCGCCCTGTGGGCACTGAGAGGGTCTTTTATAGCAGGCCCATTATGGATTCGTCCAGGCCCACAATGGGGCGACCGGGTAGTGAGGGACGGGGCCTGACATATCCGAACAGACCACCCTCCGAAAAATTCCTGGGGATTCCTTGACCCGTCCGGATTCGATCCCGGGTCCCCCAGAGCGGTAGGCTGCCACCTTGATCGTTGGCCATCCGGCCTCAAAGTCGACAGGTTGCGCGCCACAAGTCGGCGTAAACAGACTAACATGGCAGAGTTGCGGATGAGTTTCAATGAGTGTGAGTTCATTCACTGTTAAAATAGTGTAAATTTGTAAACATATTTGCGAGAACTTTGTTTCATCTCAATTTCACAATTTTTACGAAATTCCCGGACTGTCCGGGTGAAAACCGAACTGGTGGTAACATTAGGAACAAAGAATGAACTGCATGCATCGATGAATCGAAATTCACATATTGCTAACATCGATTCAGGATCGATGTTTCAAAAACATCGGAAGGTCGACGCATCGACGAACAAAAACATCGATGCATCGCACAGCACTACAGTTAGCGACTAGGGAGACTTGGGCAAGGGTAACGAAAGTAACCTAGAAGACTTACTTGTTAGCTCTATTGGATATTGGAGGTGTACATGAAGACGAATGAATCGTACGAAAAAGAAAAAAAAAGGTCGACAGGTTGAGGACGATGAGTCGATTCCCGGACTGTCCGGATGGTAACACTGTTCCGTGCTCATTTCAATCTGTCCGAATCGTAGATGCGACGGAATTATGGAATGAAATGGTTCAAATTTTTACAAGTTATTATTATTATTTATTGTGAAATTTTGCCGCTCGTAAAAAGTAATTTTGCCGCCCCCACTACGCTACACCACTGATACACACATACGAATTTTTCCCCTTTATTTGAGATATTTTGTACGTGTAGATTTATAAAAACCTCGAAGGGTCAAAATTGTTGTTTGTTTGTTTAGTTATGGCAACGCAACACTTGGGCGATCGGACTAGGGGGATGTCTTCCGAGAGGCCTTTTTAAGGGAAACCGGCCCCTATTTAGGCGTTATAGTCGTGGAGAAAACCCGGAAAATTCCACGTAGCCAGCCAGTCCGAGAGAGGCGCGAATCCACGAACCGAACTCCCAGTGTTCAGGGTACGAAGACCGCTTGGCCACTGGTAGGCAGGATCAAATTTGACAAGATTCCAACACTTTTCCGTTTTATATACACGACAAGTTGGAAAAGTAAAAAGGAGTCGGAGTCGGTGGATTTTTGACGACTGAATAAAACTCCAAAACTCTACGACTCCGACTCCGACTCCGACTTCAGCTTCACAGCCCTGGTTTTTTGAAAAGGATTTTTCACAGAAAAAGGATTACATTTTTAACACCATTCTCTGGAGATTTCGTATATAACCAAAGAGATTACAATTAGCTTTACTATTGTTTTTACAAATTTTTCAAAAATATTTTTATTTTTATGATATGTTTACGGTAAACCTAGGTAGTCTGTTTTTCGAAAATGTCGGGGATCCTATCTTTTAGTATGGATATAGCAAACCCACGTTAAGTATGAGTTTAAAAGGGAAAAAGATGCCTTTACTGTTCTCAGTATGGAGAAATCCAGAAAATATATAGCTTATATATACAGTATATGACTTGTTTAATAAGGATACATATTAAAAAATTATTATTTGTTTTTATTTGCTATTTTTTGCAATTGTAACATGGACAAAGATGAAGTCGAATAATATTTGAGGAAATGGGAATCGAAGGCATAAAACTTGGGGAATTCGGGTAATGAATCGTAAGTTTTTGACGGCCGGATAGCCGAGACAGTTGAGGGATTGAGTCCGAACGATAATCCCAGAAGTTTCATAGGTGGTCTCTCCAGGATATGGGCCCAACAGTGGCCAAGCGATCTTCGTACTCTGAACATTGGGACGTGGGTTTTCGCCTCCCTCGGACAGGCTGGCCACGTGGAATTTCTCCGGTTTTCTCCACGTCTATAACGCCTAAATAGGGGCCAGTTTCCCTTAAAAAGATCTCCCGGAAGGCATTCTCCCTAGGCAGATTACCCAAGTGTTGCGTTGCCATAAACAAACTCTCCGAGATATGTCAGGCTCCTTTCTCACCACAACGTAGGCCCCTTTTGTGAGTCTGGCCGAATTCATAACGGGCATGGAAAAAAGACCCTCTCAGTGCTACATAGTATAAAGTAAAGAAAGAAAACCCGTTAGGCCAGGAGCACACATGCGTAATATTCGGCGTAAAATATAGCATAAAACAGAAAGCGTAAAAATCTTTCTGAAATTTTAGCTGAAACATAACTGAAAAAAAAGTAGAGCATGTCTCTACTTTTTACGCCAAAATTCCTCCAATAAAGAGAAGTCTTTTTTGTGACGTCAAAGTAGACACGGTTTTTATTCTAACAATGGCGGCAATGAGGGTTAACCCTACAATTGTGACGATCCGGAAAAAACGAAAAATAAATGAAATATTTAGTCTTCAAGTATCAAATCTATATTAGTATTCATAAAAACGTTCAAATAAATATGAATATTTTCTTAAATAACTTGTATATATTTTATATTAAGATAAATAAATAAATACTACTTATTAAATAAACATTAGAAATTTTTCAAAAAAGAAAAAAAATTGGGTTATCATCACGGTTATTATTGACCCCATACAATTATATGTGCAAAATTTAAATCATGAATTAATACGAGATTATTAAAAGCATTACTTTTTTAAATAATGTATTTTTTAATTTAATATATATTATGTTTTAAAAAAAATTATTATTTGTTCGTCCTTTAAAATTCAGGTTTTTCTTACGTCAGACGCAACCGTGCTATCACTCGGTTAACCCCGTCTTTCTATTCGTGCAGACACTAAGTTTACCGAGGTGGATCGCCATTTTGTATTATTATGAATTTCCGTTGTAATAAATATCGTAAAAGTTTCGCGTTAGGATCAAATTGATATATATATTACTTGTTAGAAATTCTAATTAATGTGTAATTGTGCCACATCTTATATTAATTTATAGAATATGAATGTTCTTAGTATATTTCAAATTTGAATGGAGTCATCGGTAAGTTACCATTGTGTAATACACAATTTTTTCTTGTTAATTGTATTATTTAGTTTTTTAACTTTTAACTCAATACATTAAGCAGAAACATTTAATATTCGAATGATATATTTCGGGTTTTATAAATAAGTTCTTCGAAAAATTGAAATTCGTTCTTACATACACAATAAAAATCGTAAACAAAATCATTAGGAACACTAATCATATTTAACTACTTTGTGTAATGTACAATTTGTTCCTATTTCATGTAACAGCCTATGAAAAGATCGTATATAAAAACAAATGAAATTTGGTTAGTGTTGATTTTTCATTATTTTCGAATAATTCGATCTCATTGCTTAATATAAGTATTTATCGAATTAATTAAATTGCTTTATATTCATAAAAGATGAAATAAATTCTTATATATTTCTTATGAAAAGCAAAATTTTTGTTCTATAGATTACAAAATAATAATCGAGAAAAAAGTATTCGAGTATAAATAAGTTGTTTTTTATTCTGTCACAACAAGGTGCATAGACACCAGGCATCTTTGACATCACTCTTTATATGGGAATATCTTGGGGCTGATATGCATTTTGAGCACTCTTCCCTCTTCTGTCAAAAGTAAAGCCGACAGAAGAGAGGCATGTGCCTGAAATGCGTATTGGCCCGCAAGATATTCCCGAATAAAGAGCAATGTCAAAGATGCCCGGTGTCTATTTATGCATTTAGTTGTGACAGAAAAAAAAATAAATTAAAGAAGATATGGTTTCAGAATAAGCACAAATAAATAAGTTTTTATTTTATGAAATAGTTTATTTCTAAGTTGAATTTGATGCATAAAATATTGTACAAATACCATACAATAATTTTTATTTGACAATGGTGCTGTTTGTGGATTGTTATGAGTTGTTTATAACAGTCCACATCACTGCTATATAAAATAAATAAAAAAATACATATAAAAAGTTTTTTTTTATTTGGCTGCTGTTTTAAACTGTTCTAAACCAGCTGACAAACAAAATGGTTTCAAAATTGTATGATTTGTAATGAGTGTTTGTGATTATAAATACTTGTATATTGATCTTGAACTGGATTATTGTAAATACTTGAAGACAAAAACCTATTCCAGCAATTTTTTAAATTCATCTAACACTTTTGGCTATCTGAGTAGCCATCTTCAGGATCAAACACATTTCTAATAGAATTCTTTAATGTCTAAATATTGTGTTTTAAACAAGAATTATACATAAAATTGAATAAATTGAGAATACAAATAAAAAATTTATTTACTTTATTTTTATTTTTACTCTTATTTTTATTTATTTCATTCTGTACACCTTTGTTAATGTTGTACATGTTTATTTGTATTCTCAATTTATTCAATTTTATGTGCTTAAATAATTCTAGTTTAGAACACAATATTTAAACGTTAAAGAATTCTATTCAAAATGTGTTTAATTCTGAAGATGTATTAAGTTCACGGGTTGGATGTCACGCCAACTTATGTCAATCAAAACTTCTTCTTCCAAGAACGTCAGTCTATGAGGCGTTAAATATACTTGAAATTATTTTAATTTACGAGCGCTTTACGTCGAAAGCGCTCGTAAATTAAAATAATTTCAAGTATATTTAACGCCTTATAGACTGACGTTCTTGGAAGAAGAAGTTTTGATTCTGAAGATGGCTACACAGATATCCGAAAGCATTAGATGAATTAAAAAATAATTGCTGGAATATGTTTTTGTCTTAAAGTATAAATACTTGATTATGGTAAATTGTGTACAGTATTTTCTGCGAGTTTTTTACCACTTTGAATTTAACTAGTATATTTGTTGTAACAAGTATATTTTAATGTTTGAAAATATAAATAAATTAGTTAGCCTACTTTAGTTTTTTAATCTTTTAAAAAATATTTTGATGTGACTATGTATTTCTAGTTTTGTTTGCTGTGTTAATATATGAGCAGCTATGATTTTATTTACAATTTATTTAATTACTTGCTATTGAAGCCTATCATTTGTATCAGTTACTATTCAAATTTGTTAAGTTTGTTTTGACTTTTGAGTGAAGAAGAATTTTGACTTCAATTGTGTTACAAACATTTATTTAGAAATAGAAGAAAAATAAATTTTAAAAATTTAATCTAGAAAAAAATCTGATGAGGATTTTTAAAGAATGGTTTTTTTTTCTAATTTCTCAGTTAAATAAAAACCACAAAACTAAATACCAGCAGAAAAAAGATTTTATCAAGTTTACCCAGTTGTGTTTTTAGTTTAAATTCTAAAAGAATATTATACTATGTAATATAATTTGTAAGTATTAATACAATACTATATTTTAGGAATAGACATTTTTACATAGTTTAAATGATTCTTGAAATATTTTTTTCATCTTCAGATCCTTGCAAATACAGTATCAATAAAGAACAATAGAACAGACAAAAATTTCTTTTATGTTCTTTGTTCTTTATTCAAACTGTATTTGTAAGGATCTGAAGGATAGGATATCTGAAAAATTTAAATACAAATAAAAATTTCAACTTCTAAAATATAGTGCTGTGATATTAAGTCATATGTCTAGAAAAAAATTATACTTTATATTGGCAGTTTATATATTTAACAATTTACAGTATAGTTTTATAATATTTTTCTTATATATTTGAAATGCTTTCTACTTATTATAAAATGCAATGTTCCAATTTTGATTTCTATATTATAATTAAAAAATTTTTTTTTGCATTTATTTTTAAAAACATGCAGTTTTTTTTTACTTGCTGAAATGTTATAACACTGGTTATTCAGAGCATGAGAAAACTTATATAACAGACAGTAAACTGTTGTAATTTTTTTATTCAGAAATATTTTTCAAATTTGTTCTAATAGAAAAAAAATGAGGCATGAGGAAAAAAGGAATTATTTCATAATTTTTTAAGTTCTAATTTTAATCCAGAAGAAATATCAGTTAAAACTGCAAATCAAGAAAAAAAAGGAACTTTTAAAAATTTACCAGCTATACAGTTTATCTTGAAGATTATTTATACCCTTTGTCAGAAAAGTTCCAGGACAATTCTTTTTATTTCTGTACATGTGATGATAAAAAACAAATTGGTGTTTTAATGTTACTTGGTATGTGTTCTTACTTGACATGTTTTTGGAAATGTTTCTGCACAAACTCACTGGGTGGCAGAGCTGTGCTTAGCAACACACTGTATTGCTGTTGCAATAATTGGAGTGACACAATGGATGCTGATTGTGAGCAAAGAATGAACATTAAGTTCTGCATTAAGCTTGGGAAATCCCCTACTGAAACATGGAACATGATTAAGCAGGTATATGCGAGTGAGGCACTTTCAAGTAGCACAAAAGGTTGAGTTTTTTTAATCAATTATTATTCTGTTATGGTTATTTATACATTTACAACTACAAAATGCATTTTTCAGTGTTTTCCTTACTATAGTTATTTTTTTTTCAATGTACTACTTAGCTTTAATTTGAGTGTGTTTTTTGTGTTGGAACAAATTATTTGGTTTTACATGTAATCGTATGGGAAAAAATGATTTACCTTACGACATTTTTATGATACGATCTCAGTGTCGGAACGGATTAATTTCATATCCTGAGATTCCACTGTACTTGGTAATTGCAATTTTCTATTTTTTACGAGCTTTGTCCTGGAACTTTTCTGACAAAGGGTGTACATATCATCTGTTCAGGAACAAAAGATTACTGTTTCCCCCTTCATTCTTTTTGAAAATGATTAGTTTTTAATTTAATTAGATGTCTTCTTTCATACTCTTTGATTAAAAAAATTTTTAAATGCATTATTTTTCATTTGAAAACTAAATTTAGAATAGATGAGGGAAAAAAGTTAAGTATAATGATTAACTCCTTCAGACATGATTTTTTTTTCAAAAGAAAAACACTTTTTTTGATATTACTAGATGATTGGGAACATGAATATTCAACATATGAAGAATCATATTTTATTTCAGATTTTTTTAGCCTTTTTTAGGATGTACAGTACACTACATATGGTACCAAAAGATGCTAATGAAACAAGTAATGTATTAAAGAAGGTCTATGTTAAAGTGAAAATAAAATACATTATTTTATTAGCATTGATAATGAAATTCAACAAACTAAAACAAATGACATTTTTTAATACAAAGGAATATAACTCTTTTTGTATTTCTTTGGGTAACAGTAAAAATTATTGTTCCAATTATTCTAATTTTAATCTTGATGGAATTTTGTGAAACACTTTTTACCTTTTATAAACAAATTAATTCTGCAGTTGTTATGAAAAGCATATGCTTTCTCTTACATCTCAGCAACTTGCATCTGGGAGCTTTTATTATCATTCTTCATCTTCATTTTCAGTTCTATCTTTTGTGGAATTTCCTTGCTTATTTTACCTCTAGTAAGTATAGCTGTACCAGGTCTAGAATCAACCTTGTCAGCAGAATCTGCATTAAAAAGAATATCATCATCATCATCTTATTCACAACTATAGGGTTGGCAACTAAGTGATTGCGGATTTTAAATAAGAAGGAAAATTCAAAATTTTTGCTTAAAAATATAACTTTATTCATTTAGATAATGTCCATTTTTGTCAATGACCTCTTGCCATCTTTCAGGCAATGTCATAATTCCATGTTCATAAAACTTCTGATTTTTGCCAGCAAAAAACTGAATTAAATATGTTTTTACATCATCAGTGTCATTAAAAATTTTACCATTTAAAGAGTTCTGCATGGAACGAAATAAATGGTAATCTGAAGGCGCAAGGTCAGGGCTATATGGTGGATGTGACAACACATTCCAACCAAGCTCCAATAATTTTTGGCAAGTGACCAAAGATGTGTGGGGCTTTGCATTATCATGCTGGAAAACAACACCCTTATGATTTGCCAATTCCGGCCACTTTTCTTGAATTGCATTGCTTAGTTTTGCGAGTTGTTGAACGTACACATATGAATTAATTGTTTGGTTTCTTGGTAAAAGTTCAAAGTACAG